CTGATTCTATATTTAGGGTTTAACCCTTATCTTACATTATAAATAAACTACCCTATGTGTCTGGTAAATACATAAGGGAGATTTCTCCTAATCTTCTCCCATTTCTTCTTAACCTTTCATTTCTTTCTTAATGGGTAATTTTCTAACCTATTATCAGTTTGTAGTAATTGAAGCCGATCAAGAAGAAAGAAATCCACTACTCCATCCACTACTTCATGGAGGAGAAGCAGCGCAACAAAATGAAGCAGCAGCCCAACAAAATGAAACAACAGCACAAGCAGCAGCACAAGCAGCAGCTCAAGCAGCAGCGCACCCAGTAGCGAACCCAGAAGCGCATAGTGAAGCGCACACAGAAGCTAACCCAGAAGCTCACCCAGAAGCTCACGCAGAAGCTCATCTAAAAGCTCACCTGGAAGCGCACCCTGAAACGCACCCAGAATCTCACCCAGAAGCGCACCAAGAAGCGCACTTAGAAGCACACCCAAAAGGTCACCCAAAAGAGCACCCAGAAACGCACCCAGAAGCTCACCTAGAAGCGCACCAAGAAGCTCACCCCAGAAGCGCACCTAGAAGCGCACCCCGAAGCTCTCCCAGAAGCGCACCCAGAAGGGCACCAAGGAGCGCAAATTATTCCATTTCAAGGATTTGAAATACGAAGTGCAACACCTCCAGAAACCCCGATCGCATTCATGTTCTACCCGAAAATGATGTTTCAACCTGACCACAACCTTTAGCACTTTGCATCATACTATGGCAAGAATTTGTTAGAAATTTTGTTGCCGGATATACACTGATAGTTTTCACTTTTATGATTAATGTTAGAGTTAAAAAGTTGATTAAACCAGCTTTGAGTAATATATTTATTGGGACAATTCTTGGCCCAGTAAATGGATTCATTCTTTATAGGCTTAGATTGACGGAAAGGGAAAAAATTACATTACTAATCATAGTATCAACAGCGCACCCAGCAGCTCACCTAGAAGCGCACCCAGAAGCGCACCCAGAAGCACACCCAGAAGCTCATCCAGAAGCGCACCCAAAAGCGCTCCCAAAAGCGCAAAAGGAAGCGTCCCTAGAAGCTCACCCCGAAGCGCACCCAGAAGCTCACCCCGAAGCTCACCCTGAAGCGCACCCAGAATCATATCCAGAAGCTCACCCAGATGCTCACCCAGCAGCGCACCCAACAGCGCACCCAGCAGCACACCCAGAAGCGCACGTAGAAGCGCATCTAGAACTGCACCCAGAAGCTCACTCAAAAGCACACCCAAAAGAGTACCCAAAAGCGCACGCAGAAGCTCACCTTGAAGCGCATCCAGAAACGTACCCAAAATCGCACCCAGATGCTCACCCCGAAGTTCACCCAGAAGTGTACCCAGAAGCGCACCCTGAAGCGCACTCTGAAATGCACCTAGAAGCGCACCCAGAAGCCCACCCAGTAGCGCACCCAGAAGCGCACCCAGAAGCGAACCCAGAACCTCACCTAGAAACGCACCTAGAAACGCACCCAGAAGCGCACCAAGAAGTGCACCCAGAAGCGCAACCAGAAGCGCAAATTATTCCAATTCAAGGATTTGAAATTCAGAGTGCAACACCTCCAGAAACCCTCATCCCATTGATGTTCCACCCGAAAATGATGTTTCAACCGACCACATCCTCCAGCACTTTGCATCATACTATGGCAAGAATTTTTTAGAAATTTTGTTGCCGGATATACATTGATAGTTTTCAATTTTATGATTAATGTTAGAGTTGAAAAGTTGATTAAACCATCTTTGAGTAATATATTTATTGGGACAATACTTGTCCCAGTAAATGGATTCATTCTTTATAGGCTTAGATTAACGCAAAGGAAAAAAATTACATTACTAATCATAGTATCAACAGTGGGATACTTCTGCGCTGGTGGATTGGCTTTTGCGTATGCTTGTGTAATCAAAAACCCTATAGCTAGTGTTAGATGTTAAGTTGTGTGTTTATGTTAATTGGGCTCAGCTGATTCTATATTTAGGGTTTAACCCTTATCTTACATTATAAATAAACTACCCTATGTGTCTGGTAAATACATAAGGGAGATTTCTCCTAATCTTCTCCCATTTCTTCTTAACCTTTCATTTCTTTCTTAATGGGTAATTTTCTAACCTATTATCAGTTTGTAGTAATTGAAGCCGATCAAGAAGAAAGAAATCCACTACTCCATCCACTACTTCATGGAGGAGAAGCAGCGCAACAAAATGAAGCAGCAGCCCAACAAAATGAAACAACAGCACAAGCAGCAGCACAAGCAGCAGCGCACCCAGGAGCTCACCAGTAGCTCACCCAGCAGCGAACCCAGCAGCGCACCCAGAAGCGCATAGTGAAGCGCACCCAGAAGCTAACCCAGAAGCTCACCCAGAAGCTCACGCAGAAGCTCATCTAAAAGCTCACCCGGAAGCGCACCCTGAAACGCACTCAGAAGCTCACCCAGAAGCGCACCCAGAAGGTTGTGGACAACAAAGCTGATTCTGGTATTGTTTCTCCCACTTTTTTGTCTTTCAGGGTTTTATAATTGTCTCTGTTGCCTTTTAAACATTATCTTTTAAGAACACTATCTTTCATTTTTCAACAAAGTTATCTTTTAAGATTTTTCCTTTAATTTGCGTCTTCAGAGATACACCACTTACAAAAGAAAAATTATAGGCAATATTAATTCTGTTCTGCATAACACGTAACCAATAAAATTCAAACTGGTTTTACATTTGCTTATGCGAGTTTATTACTACTATTAATAAGAGACATGGATGGCTTTTATTTTAGTTATAGTGATTTCAGCGAATGGGCAATGCTACAAAAATCAGAGCTGTAAACCTATATTTATTCTCGTTCAAATTCACACCAACCTATTATATTCTTTTATATATATATATATATAT